TTGTCCCTTTGTTGAATAAACAGGAAATAGGTGATGGCAAGTTAACTGCATAATCTAATATTCAACATTTCTCATGCTAAACTGGCCCAGACCCTCTGTAGACGTTATTAAAATTTGCATTTTGTGTATAGACCCAAAGGGAAAAATTTTAAAGTGTGTAAAAGTAATCACACATATTTTTTTGTTAGAGAAAAACGTGCTGAGCTCTCTCCCCCTTCTCTTAGCAACCTCATAAGTAGAGCGTCCAAAGGAAATAGGCTTCTTGTTTCGAAAGGTTTAATTTCTATTTAAATTCCTTTTGGCTTGAATGGTCCCAGGCTGGGAAAGGCTTCAGTAAGAGCCGTGTGCGCCCTCTGCTGGCCACACAGAAGTCAAACAATGTGCTTCCACTCATTGAGCGAAACTGGCCGGAATGGCCGGAAAAGGAACAAAGTATCGAGATTCTTCCTTCCACTGGAAATACGAAGCAAGATGCTCCCGTGACTCCACTCACACGGCAGTGTTTCTCTGTGCTATCATATTTAAAAATGCAGTGTGGAAGCAGAACATTGTTTTATAACAAAGCTGAACTGCACAGGCCTGGGCTGTCCACAAGAGGTACAGCTATAATAAAAACCTGCTATGCCTTGTTCGGATAGAATGTCAAAAAAGGCTGGTGATTCCTGAGGACCAGAAGATCTATTTACTATTATAGTGTGCTGTTCTGGCTTCATTTTACTGCTGTAAAAGCCACACTGACCGAAAGCAACTTAGGGGAGGAAGAGATTTATTTGGCTTACATTTTGAGGTCATAGCCTATCACTGATGGAATCTGGGCAAGAATTTGAAGGAGAAGTCATGGAGGGAGGAATACTGCTCACTGGCTTGAGTTCTACTTTATGCTCACACATCTTTCTTATAGTCCAGGGCCACCTTAGGTGCTTAGGAAATGGTATTGCCCACAGTGGGCTGAGCCCCCCTACATCCATTAACAGTCAAGACAATACCTCGCAGACATGGCACAGGGCAGCTGGATGCAAGTAATCCTTCATCTCAGAGGGATTTCCTTTCAGATGCCTCTAGGCTGGGCCAGTTGATAATTCAAGATGACTGGGACATATTTTTTCCAGGTGCTGTGAGACTCCATGACCTCTGCCCTTTCCCAGGGATTAAGACCCATGAAGTCAGAGACAAGATTTAGAATCTAATGAGAATGTGCTAAATGTCTTCTGAGTGAATGCCTCGCTCTAAAGAAGGTTGGATTCCAAGTGTCCATGGTGCAGACTTGGATAAAAGACAAAGTGGGTTTGGAAGATCATATTTAACGCTGTTCATTATGAAAATCTAACGAACATAGCAACCCATCTCAACAGCTGTTCTGGAAAGAGTTAATTATACTGAAGACTTTTAATATAGCATGGCAAGTTACAGAACAGCTTTATGGGCATCTCATTTGATTTCAGTCCAGTCCTGAGAGATACCTATTGCCCCTGTTTTTGAGCAAGGTCTCCAGCTGATGAAAGTGGTGTGGGGCTCTAATGATTCTCCCCAGCATCCCCCCCCCACCATCTATATGATTTGCTGGTTGCCTCGCATCTCTGAGTTGGCCGAAAGGCAGTCACAGCCTTCAAAGCAGAGCCTGGTAAGCCATATCTTGAACATCTCCTTTGATTACTCTTGACAGCCAGATGATAGGAATTACCAAGGCTGAGACGCATGACACTGAATGAGCTAACCACCTCTTTAATAGCTTTCTTTCCCCCAGTCTTCCCCAAGGCATTATCCTCAGCCACATAGTCTCCTGCATCACACAAGTTTGTGCAGGGTGAAATGTTCAACGCTCCCCTCAGAAAGCCCACTAGCAAAAGCTGAACAAGGTCAGCGGTCAAAGACATTTACAAGTTGGAACCAGAATGACCTGTTTGCTCATGACTTGGTTGGTGCGTTTGATTTCAGAAAAGGCAAACAAAAAAAGCCAGAAGCCAAATGTTTGCTTAGGTCTGGGTTTCATTGAAAGAACAAACCGGTAAAGGGTGCGTCTGCCACTGGCAGGAGTCATTTCAGGCTTCGGCACACACTGTCCCCCACGCTTCTCTTCCCTTCCTACTTGCAAAACATACACCCTTATTCAGCCTACAAGACCCAGAACAGGTCCTGTGGATTTTTGCACCCTCCCTTCAAGCACCCAGTGCTACTGATACTCCATCTGCGCCCTTCCTTTCCTCATGGTGTTACATTTGTTTGTCAGTTTCTCCAAGTTTCTAGGAGGAAGAAGCTACATATCTTACCTCTACTGGGAAAAAAATATGTGGGTACTCATAGTCCAATCCCAGAACCCCAGAGGATAGGCAAGTTGTTTTCCAACTTTTTGGATCACCGCCAGTAATGAGCACAAGCTATCTCATACTCCAGTATCAAATACATCATGGAGTTGTGATGGCTGGCTTTAATTGTCAACTTGACACAGCCTAGAACCACCTAGAATGAGAGTCTCAGGGAAGGGTCGTCTACATTGGCTTGGGCTGTGGGGATGTCTGTGGGGATCTGGTCTTAAGTCAAGTGATGTGGGAAGACCCAGCCCACTGTGGGAAGCACCACTCCCTAAGCAAGGAGTCTTAAACTATGTAAGAGTGGCGAAATTGAGCCGAGGACAAGCAAACAATTGATTATGAACGCATCCCTATCTCTCTGCTCTTGGCTGTGGACGTGATATGATCAGCCACTCGAAGTTCCTGCCTTGACGTCCCCACAATGGTGTGCTGTAACCTGGAATTGTAAGTTGAAAGAAACATTCTTTTTAGTGGAGTATTTTATCACAGCAACCGAAAAGAAACTAAAACAGCAGTCGCGGGCATGCAATAGACACCTGTCAGAGAGATCCACAGCCACGAAGCCAGTGAGTGGAAGGGTGCCTACAGCGCTAACGTAACTGTGCCTAAATGCAGGCCAGTGTGGGAGCAGAGAGCTATGTAGATTTGTAAGACAAAACTTCATAAAATGTTGGTGCAGGCTGCTTTATTATTGGGGATTTGCTTTTGTCCAGCTTGTTCCCTGTCATTTTTATAATGTGCAATTGTGGTGCCCTCAATTGATTTTATGATACTCCAGTGAGTATTATGACTTTCAGTGTGAAAATTTTTGGTGTACTGGACATTCCGCCTGGCATTCCCCTGGCCCTGCTTGTTTCCTCATTTGCTGTTTGCATCTGTGGAATGGCTTCAGACTGGGAGGTTTTGATTGAGGGGAACAGCAATAAAGACAGAGAGAGAGAGAGTAAGGGCAGAATGAGAAGAAACAATATCCCATCTGCCCCCTGTCCTCAACTTTGTATAGGGGCTGAGCTCCCTTACAAGTAGACTGAGTATCGCAAGATAACCAAAGTGTACACAAGAAACTTCATTAAACTTGAGCCACAAATAAGGCTGCTTCAGATCCCGATCTAATGTCTATAAACCATAGCCCTTGGTCCAAACCTACCTATCCACCTGTTTTAGTAAGGGAAGATGCATTTTTACTCACACGTCATCTGTGGCTCACTCTGCTCCAGCTGTAGGGTGGAATTAGCTGTGATCAAAGGTATTATGACCAAGGCCAGACATGTCAGAACATGCCTTAAGTCTCAGCACTTGGAAGGCAGAGGCAGGTGGAGCTCTGTGAGTTCAAGGCCAGCCTGGTCTACGTAGTGAGTCTCAGGACAGCTAGGACTACATAGTGAGACACTGTCTAACACACACTCACTCACTCCTCAATCAATCAATCAATCAATCAATCAATCAAACCATAAAGAAAGACTGTACGGCCCACAAAGTCAAAAAGTATTTGCCATCTGGCTGTTGGCTAACCCTAGTAGAGACAGAATGTGTTCTCTGCCTCTTGGGCAGGAAGCCAGCATGGCTCTGACACACAGGCAGGGGAGTAGCTTTCTTCACCTGGCCTTCCCAGGTGCTGTCAGGAAGGACTGCCGGAGCAGAAGATGCTGAACAGGAGGACTTGGGGCGGGGACTGAGAGAGCACTGTCTCTGGTAGCATCTGGGAGCTCTTGTCACGTCACTGTGTCTGCAAAGATGAGGACCCTAGAGGCAGCTGTCACTGGAGCTTCATTTCCATCCCTAGGATCTGGCACAGGGAAGGCGCATGGAGGGTGCTAAATACACGCTTGCTGGATAGCTCTTGAATCAGGAGGAACTGGCGGTGTGTGGTGGGGTACTATTTTCTTGTGGATGCTCTTGACAGCCACAGCAGTGGAGAGCCCAGAGAAGGACTCCTTTCCTACTTGGGCATGGGAGCACCTCTTCTCAGCTGCTTTGGCAACTAGTAGCAAAGATGGGCGTATGGTGATTGTGATGATAATTATGATCATGATCATTAACATTTATTAGATGCCCTCCGAGTACCGAGCATCCCTCTGGATTCTTTCTAGCTTGTAATTTGTTTTCATTATCTTAACAAGCGGTTCTATTTCAATCTCATCTTGTGAAGGAGGAAACCGAGGCACGGAGAGGTTAGATAACTTGCCGAAGGAGTGGTGGAATTTGTAAGTGGTGATGAGCTTTAGAAAAGAAAAACATCTGAATCACTGGGATGAATTGGAAGAAATACAGGTCAGCTGCTCTCTGGTCCCTGAAGTCAGACCGGTGCTGGTAGAGGAAACGTCTATTAGAGAGTGTCCGGCCCAGAGCAGATTCATCAGCATCAGAAACTGGGTTGTGCCAGTCTCTCCAGGAAGAAGGCAAGAGAAGGACACAGCCACTCCCTGGGAGGTGAACAGTGAAAAACGGTTATCTCTGTAGTCAGGCATGATAACTGCGTGTTTGTGGTGGTGAAGCTTCTAGTGTGTGTACAGGTAGAGGACACCAGATGTCTCAGCTACTCACCTGGGGGTCCCAGAGTGTTAATGTGTATATGGAACACTAAGGAATGACCCATGGGCTTCTCCTAGACTGCCCACCCCAACCTGAACCATGGGGCCCCACCAGTCAGCGTCTACACCACACAATGAACAACGCTTGTCAGCATCATAGTCCGAAACGAACCAGCAAACCTTTAATTGGGATCACAGGATGTCATTCAGCTCTGCCTGGCTTGCGCCCCACGAGGGAGAACAGTCCTTCATTGTTGGCTGTGGCAGAAGAGTAATTCTGGGAAATCACCTCAAACTGCTCAATGGTATAGCCAGCCTCTTCCACGGCATCTCGAACGGCCTCCCATCCCAGGGGAAGGCTGGAAAATCTCTTCTCTCCGATCATGTAATAGCTACTCTTAAGGGCATCCACCAACACCAGGCAGCCCCCCGGCTTGAGCAGGCTGCCCAGGTTCCTGAGGGCAGTGCGGTAGGTGGGGAGGTCAGGGCAGGCAGCGTCCAAACACAGCGTGCTGAGCAGGCAATCAGCCGGAGGCAGAGAGACTTTCCCCAGGGGCTGGCTCTGAGTCACGTCACACTTCAGCACCTGCTTGATTGCCCGCCTCAACTTCTCCTCCTTCTCAGGTCCCTTGGTTCTGGAAAACACACACAGACCAGCATCACTCACTGCTCGACATATGGGGACCCCAGGTTGGGGCTGAGGATGTGTGTCAGTGTGGACCATACTGTGGTTCTTAAATTCATCCTACTCCGGTGTCTGAATGTTACCCCAAGCTGAGTCATGAAAACAATCACAATAGCTCCCATCCATCTGCTTCGGAAACGAACTGCCCTCCATGGAATTGCCCTTCTCCCACCTTTTATTAATATATGTTTTTAAGTGATCAGCACTGTCCTTGACTGCTTTGTCAGACTGCAAGGTGGCAGCTATTTGACTCTCACACAGTAAATAATGGAGCTTAGATGCTGAACAATTGTCTTTACAGTAGTTACCTGTTGGTGAGGGGATGGGATCCAGCCTAGACAGGTTTACAAGCTGTTGGTCGTGGGGCCTGGAGATTTGGCTCAATCAACCGAGTGCTTGTCTAACGTGTATTATGTCCTGGGTTCCATCCCCAGCATCACATAAACTAGGCGTGGGTGTGGTACTGCCTGCAGTTCCAACACTCAGAGGGCGGAGGCAGGAGGATCAGATGTTGGCTACCTGATGAGTTAAAGGTCAGTCTGGGCTACAAGAAGCTCTGTGAGTCTCTGGCTCAAAAAATGAATAAATAAACAAATGACACCAAGAGAAAGCCTCATTGGTTATCTTACCACTGTGGCCAGGGGCTCGGGTCAGTCCCTTTCTCCTGACTGTGGCTTTCCTAACCTTATTTTCTTGGTAACCCCATCAAGACAACTGTCTCTTTTGGTCAATTCAATGGAATTTCAATTAATCGATAGAGATGAGAAAGCAGGAACAGGAAATGAGGTCATGTCTGGTTGGTCCTGTAGTTTATATCCAGAATGTCCCTCAAAGGCTGTTGTGTGAAAGGTTGGGTTCTACTGAGAGGTGGTGGAGCCCATTAAGGTGGGGCCTAGGGAGCCGTTGCTGTGGACATGCCCCAACGGGGATTGTAGGGTCCTGGTGTCTTCTCTCTGCTGGTGAGCGGCTTTTCTCCATCACATGTTCCTACCCTGATCCTTCACCATAGCTTTATAAGCGGCCTGGAACTGTGGGCTGAAAGGAGTCTTTCTCTTTGCAGAGCTACTGACTCAGTTATTAGCTACCAAAATGGAAAGTTGACTGATACGTGGGGTCCATTTCACGTCTGCGAGGGGAGAAAAGAAGGAACAGAGTAATAAACAAACACGTGGAGCCCACCAGATGAACTGAAGAGGGGGAAAGGGGAACCAGAAAAGGAAAAAAAAAACATAGCAGAAAGCCAAAGAGAAAGGGAATGGAGTACCCAGGGCCCTGAGCTCCCAGCAGGAGCCTAGACTACTGGTGCAGAACCCTTTGACAAAATTGGTTGACAAAGCACCTGGGCACTGCACAGCTGTAAACTCAGGGAACGTAGCTGTCTGATACAGACCCCAGGAGATGAGATGGCCATTTGATGGAGACAGTTGATGGTACTCCAACATCCACCAAGAAGGAAGAGCTCAAGCTGGGACAAGTTCTGGTTTTAAGGAAGCGTCAATGGTTTAAGAAAACTTAAATTTGCCTCTAGGCAGAAAGATTTCAGGTGGGTGAAGTTGTCTGTGGCCATCTAGTTTGAGCATTTGTCTGGCGCCTTCCGTTAGTTGCCAGTGTCCTTTGAATTTGCTATAACTTTTCATTTGAGAGGCTTGATTATAGGCAGAGGGAAAGAGAGTATCACCAGCCATCAGAGAAATATGCCCAAACCACAAGGTTATACTTCACATGTACTAGGAGGGCTAGCATAAAAAAGACAGGTAACAAGTGTTGGCAAGGAACATGCCTGCCTACACTACCAGGGAGAATTTAAAACAGTCCAACTGCTTTGGAGAATAGCCTAAAAGTTTCTCCAAAAGTTAAACATGAAGTTTCTGCATGGCCCTGAATTCCACTCGTGAATGACTTAGTTAGGGTTTTGATTGCTGTGAAGAGACACGGTGACCATGGCAGCTCTTATAAGGGAAGACATTTAGAGGGGTGGCTTACAGCCATTGTCATCATGGTGGAACATGGTGGCGTACAGGTAGATATGGTGCTGGAGGAGGAGCCTACATCTTGCAGGCAATAGGAAGTGAACTGTTGAGACACTGGGCATGGCTTGAGCATATCTGAGACCTCAAAGCCCACCTCCACAGTGACACACTTCCTCCAACAAGGCCGTACCCACTCCAACAAAGCCACACGTCCTAATAGTGCCACTCCCTATGGGGACCAATTGCATTTAAACTACCACTTAAGACAAACAAAACATATCCACACACAAACTTGTATATGCATGCCCTTAAATGACCCAAGACAATTTAAATACCCAACAGCCTATAAATCAGTAACTCTGATGTGGGAGATACACAGCTGAGGAAATTAATTGCCAGCCATGGATTCTGATGTGTGCTACAACATGGGTGGACGCGGGAGACACAATACTAAGTAACAGAAGCCAGAACCAAAGGTCATGTGTTACACAACCCTGCTTTCACGCAATGTCCAAGAAGGCTCTAGAGACTAAAAACAGGGAAGAGATTACTAGAGGCTGAGGAAGTTGGCAAGGGTGAGAATTTCTTTGGGGAATTTACAAAAATACTCTAAAATCATGAGATTACACAGTGTTGTGGATACACTGAAAACTGGGTTCCATTTTAAAATGTATCTATTGATGGTATGGTCCTAGCTCAGTAAGCCACCCTATCTAAAAATAAAGGTCCGCCAGGCATTGGGGCATCTACCTTTAATACTAGCTCTCACAAGGCGAGGTGAAACAGGAGGATTATGAGTTCAAGACCAGAGTGGGTGATATGTGAGTCCAGGCCAGCCCAGGGTTATGTAGCAAAACTGTGGAGAAGAAAGGGGATGAGAGGGAGTGTTGGGGAGAAGACAGTGAGAATCACACAGAAGGAGGCGGAGGCTTAGCAAGTGGTTCAGTAGTGGAGAGTCCACACTGCTCTGGCAGAGGACTTGGGTGCCAGGTCCAAAGGAAACTCGAATTCCCCAAACCCCAAAAGGCAGTCCTATGAGCTCAAGCTGGACTGTCGGAGGATTTCTGGCAGTTAGATTAAAGTCAGCCTTCCTCAGGAACTTGTGGAACTGATTCCATCTACCTAAAGGAGTCATGTCCCTTATCTCTGGCAGAAGGAGCATATAGCTACATATGGTGCCTATTAGCACATCAAAGCTCACGCTGGCCTCCAGGCTCCTTCAGTATCCCGAGGACCTGCTACACATTTCAAAGTCCATGCTAGCATCCTAGTCCCCATGCCCCCCATCGTAAACTTCCTCCAGCGCATTGGCTTCCCACCCCCTGCTCATTCTCCTTAAACCCTGCTAATCTCACTATGTTTGCTCTCTTCCTCCCTCCCTCCCCCCCTCTCCCCCCCCCGTGTGTGTGTGTGTGTGTGTGTGTGTGTGTGTTCTGTTCCTGCCACACTCTCACTTTTCTCTAACCTCTGCTGTTCTCACCTCTCTTGAAGATAGTCCTGGCCGTGTCCGGTCTGCTGGCCATGTTCAGTGTATTTCTTTCTCTCTCTGCTCTGGGCTCTTCCAGATGCCTCTGGCTGTTCTATCTCTCATCTCTACATTAAAAACCTTCTCTCCAACCATTCCATGGAGTGGTCATGTCATTAGTTGAGGTCCTAGCAGCCACGCCGGGCAGCTCACAATCACCTGTCACTCTAGCTTGAAGGCATCTGACATTCCCTGACTCCCATGGGTTCCTGAACCTGTGGTCACATACCCACACAGAGAAACACACACATACTTTAATATAATAAAAATAAATCTTTTAAAAGATTACCCATGATTGGGTCTACCTGTGTCCTTAATCCGATAGCAACCACTTTGTGATGATTTGCCTTGGATTTTTCCAGTTTAAAAGATTCCTATGCTGAAATTTTTTGTTCTGGATTCTTTATGCAGTCCTGGGCAAAGTAGAACAACCATCATCCTAAAAGCAGGCATGTCACCCAACCCTGCTACAATACAGATGATTTGACAGAGCATGTTAAGAAGAAAAACTGATTATTAAACAATAGATGTCTATGAAAATAAGTAAAGAAAGTAGATCAGAAAAAAACAGAATTCCCTGTCTACACATATACACAACAAGTGTATAGAAGAGGCTAAGGCAATAGAACATGGTGATTTGGGAGGGGGTTAAAATGCTACTCTAGGCTGGGGACATTGTTAGAATGTGTATTTAAGCGATTACGTCAGAAGCAAAGTGGACCTTTGTGCCCTATTGTGTATTAAGCTATTTTAAAGACACAAATTACCACAGAACTAGCACTTGCCAGTCAGTCGATGATGAAAATTGTTCCCACACTGTGAAGCCTACTGTGAAATCTCGAAAGCTCACAGGACATGTGCCAATTTGAGAAGGGGAATTTGTTAGGCTCTCCCACCGCTGCTGGTACCTGCTTGTCCTTGGCTGCTTAGCAAACATTGGTGAACTCAGTTGCCAAGGCAGCTATGTAAAGATTACCCCGCGGGGCTCCTGGAGGACTGTGGGTAACACCCACAGGGAAATGGACTCTCCTGGAGACCCAGGCAATTACCACTCAGCCTCACGTTTAGCTCAAGGAGAAGGTGATAAACACAGACCGGAGCAGCATGGAGCTTGGTTTACAGAAAGCTAACTGCGGCGTGGCCATTGCTCTCCTTGTAAAGATTGACTCTTTCAAATAGAGGCTGCCATTTCCCCTGTGTATATGCTAGCTACACAAACCCAAGGGACACGGCAGAGAAGGAAAGAACAGGTAAGGATTCCTGCAAGAGCGCTTTGTAAGAATGTCTTCCCATACCCAGCAATTATCTTGCGATTCTGCCTACTCTCGGAGAAGCAAGGCAGCAAGTAAGTCAAAATCTCCACAGGAGCCCCTTCCATTCCATTCCCCTGCCCGAGTCCCCATCCCAGTAGCCTTCAGCACACTTTCCCGTGACAAAGCCATCAACACAGCCCAAGGACATAAAGGCTGAAGAAGCCTGGTGTGAAGGTACTGGCCCTTAGTCCCAGCATTCAGGAGGTGGAGGAAGGAGAGTCAGGAGTTCAAGGTCATTCTCGAGTACAGAAGGAGTTTAAGGCTAGGTGTGGTGCACAAGACCCTGTCTCTAAACAACAACGAAAGAAAAGTCAGATAAACTTGCATATCAGCATTACGAGAGACAGGAAGAGTTGTCCATAACCTTTAGGCACAGTCCACGCCTGAATCAGGTAGACAGTGTAGGCAGGGCGTGGAGTCTGGAAGGCAGGATACATCCATTTGTTTATTTTACACTTGCATTTGAACCTCGGTTATGTACTAGGTACTGGGGTACCCAAAGGTCCTGGGGAGTCAGGGATGAACAAGAGAGAAACAGCTCCTGTCTTCCTGGAGATTACAGAAGGGAAGAAAGGAAAACAGTGAATCTAAGGATTAGATTAGAAGTAAAAATGGATACGATCAAGGAGGAAAGGGTCATGGGATGTGGGATCCTGGCTTGATCTACAGTGGCAAGTTCAAAAGGAGCCAAGTAAGCAGAGACGCTAGGAGGCATCTGTCACCACTGACCAGGCCAAAGAGAGAAACAAGGGGAGGTGGATGGTCCAGCATGAGAAGATGGCATGTGTCCAGCCAACCTGGTAGAGAACGCAAGGAAAAGAGTGTGTCCGTAAGCAAATGAAATGCTGGGCTCCAGACAAAACAAGCTTTTGTGGATTGAATTTAAAATTTTACCTTCTAGGCCAGGAATGGTAGCACATACCCTTGATCCCAGCACTCTGGAGAGAGAGGCAAGCGGATCTCTGAGTTCGAGGCCAGTCTGGACTACAGAGCGAGTTCCAGGCTGTCAGGGCTACATAGTGAGACCCATCTCCAAAACTGGGATTTTGCTTTCTATCCTAGGAAGTCTAAATGGCGCTATGGAAAGGCATGCAATCACAGAACCCTAGAAGAAGAAGCAAGACACAAGTTGGAGGCTAGCCTGGGCTACCAAGTAAGCCCTTGCTTCCAACAAAGAGGAGAGGAGGGTCCTGATCAGAAGTAGGTCTTGGAATGAGACCAAACAAGTGCCTTGTAGCAGAGGCTAGGCTAGAATCACTCTGTAGCTCAGGCTGGCCTTGACCTTGAAGATCCTGCTGCTGTCTCTGCCTCCTGAGTGCTGGAATAACCAAAATGTACCACTATGCCCAACCCTTACCAACCTCTGTGTGGGAACCTTTGGCTTCAGATAACAGCCACTATTCCAGTATGCTAGCCAGTTCTTTCCTGGAAGGCTCAGGGGGGCCACTGCTCTCTAGAGGGGCACCTGGAAGTCCCTGTCTTCTCCAAACCCATAGGCTGTATAGGCGGAGAAAAAGAGCTGACACAGCACACTCTAACTCAACTCCCTTCTCCTGGGTATCCTGGTATCCTGGTGGGTCTGTGGGAATATTGGCTCTAGACCCAACTCTCCTCCCACGGTCATGGTCACCTCTGCAGATCTCATGGAAGAAGGAACTCAAGCCCTGTGCACAGTCAGGGAGGCCTGAAGGTATGCATCTCCTCTTCTTAAAAACAAAACATATATGGGTGCTTTGCTTCATGTATGTCTGTTCACCAACAATGGGTGTGTCTAGTGCCATCAGAGGCCAGAAGAGGGAGTCAGAGCCCCTGGAACTGGAGCTACAGACAGTTATTAGCTCTCTTGTGGGTGCTGGGAATTGAACCCGGGTCCTCTGGAAGAGCAGCCAGTGCACTTAAGCACTGCGCCACCTTTCCAGCCCCAGACTCTGCATTTCTAACATGCTACTACATGATGTATTAAAGCTGCTAATCTGGGGATCCCAAGGCTAAGCAATATGTTGTTCAAGGGGCCAAGGGCTAATTCATGTTATTTCTAGAATTTCTTTTCTAAATCTTCTTTTTGTGTATATGTATGTGTGTGGAGGGGTGCCATTAGAATCCAGAAGATGGATCCCCTAAAACTAGAGTTACAGGCAGCTGTGAGCTACCCAAATGTGGGTGCTTGGAACTGAACACAGGTTCCCTGCTTCAGCAGCAAGGCCTCTTAAAGTTCCCAATGACTAGGCCAGCTCCTTTTTTCTAGAATTTCTTAAGAAAAGAGCTTATTTTCCTTGCTCATGACAGACCTAGGGTAATTACATAACATCTTGTGGTTTGAGATAAGAGTTTGGTACTGATGTCTGAAAACTTTCAAACAACCACGATTCAAAAAATCATGAGTGATTTTCAAATGTCCAACCTGTATTCCCAAAGCAGCAGAAGAAAGCAGCTAGCTTCTGTTGTCCTTGGAAGCCATCAGCACAAGAAATATCTTCAGATAAAGAAGAAATAATCTCGGCGAAAATGGACTGTAAGTTGATAGAGGGACTCGGAGATGTGAGAGAGACGTAAGCGGAATGGGATCACTATCGTTCTCGAAATAGTAGAAGCTGCTGGATGCGGCGTGAGGATAAGGAAGGCACGCAGGACCTCCTGCCAAAAGTACAGTTCCTCATCCAGGCAGTGACGGGGCTGGGGAGGGCGTCTTAAGAGGCAATTGTTCTGGGCTGACGATTCTGCAGGGAGATAATTCTCTTAGTAGCCTGCTAGACTGAAGGGCTCATTTTTGAATGAGATGTGGGCTGTGATATTTAGGGAAAGTGGGAATGTAGTTCCCAGAGCTTTCTGGACAAGTGCTTTGCATTTCAGAGAGATGTGTTGGTCTCAAATAGCGCAAAACTTCTGTTCAATAAGCTTTCTTTGAAAGTCTGTCAATCTTTGTAAATTCTTTATTCGTTTAATGCGTTTTGATAGTGTTCAAACCCTCACAGCAAGTTATTCCAATTCTGTCCCGGGGAATCATGTACTTCACATAAAAAAGAGTAGTAAGATTCACCTTCGCTTTAAAGAATGTTTCTTCACTTATGCTAAATGTGTAAGAAGTTTCTATGTTAAATGGCCATATTAAAATAGTCTCTCAATTTGTTACTAAATGCCATACTCTTTAACTTGCCCTTGAGGGTCCTAAATCACCTGATATTTATCTGCCTTCTTTGGTAGGAGTTATAAGACTTAGGGGCTTCTTCTGCTCTGGCCTAAGAGCTAGTCTTATGGGGTACAACACAGTTGTTCAACTAAGTTTGTTAAATGGGTGGATGAATGGATGGATGGATAGATGCTAGTTCTTTTAACCATGCACCAAGAAGTACTAACCTTCCAGAACCCTCATCTGGATAGCTTTGCTCCAATAGTGAATTATTTGAAACAGAAACCAAGAAGTCATTTCTAGTACAATAGCTACAATAAATAAATAAGTAAATAAGCTCAGAATAAAACTAACTAAAACAAGCCAACAATCTTTACAATGAAAACATCAATCTAGAAGAACAGTGCAGACACCAAGAAAATGGAATGATCTGTCCGCGGATAGGAAGAACCAAGGTCACGAACATGTCCGTATGACCCCGAGCAATTTATGGAGCTAATGTCATCCCTAATGAAACATTAATGATGGGTAGGAAAAAAAACATCTAAAATCTATCTGTACACAACCATAGATATGCAAAGCCCAGAGAGCACCAGGGGAAAACAATCAGGAATCATACACTGCCTCACTTGGACAATAACAACAACAAGGCTATAGGCACCCAGACAGCACACTATCACCACAAAAAACCCAGAGAATAAAGAGTAATGGAACACAGCTGACAGCCCAGGACTAAGCCCGTGCGTCTACAATCAGCTGGTTTTCAATAAGGATGACAGCTGGTGAAAGGACAGCTCTTTGAGTAAATACGAACGCAGGACCATGCATTTCTATGGCAAGCACTTTACCCACTGACCATCTCCCAGTTCCCTTTAGGCTCAGTTTTACAGATGGTGAGTAATGGATTCCTTTTGGCATAGTTGCTTCATATCACTTCTGTCGGTTAAAAATCCTGGTCAGTGTTGTGCTGTTTCGGGTGGCTTTGGTTGGAGGACTGACAATAAGATAATACTCAGGTAGTGCAGAGGGCACCCAATCTGTTCTCCTGAACCCTCATTCTCCATCTGGAGTTCCCTTTGGTCTCTGTCTTTGCGTTTCTTTTGTGTTTTTCAACTGAATTGTAATGGTATTTCTGGACTGATAGAAACATCAGGTCCCTTCAGAAAGCTGAAAAGCAGATACCCATCACCCTACCTGTTCCCTTCGAGATCACACACATAGGTGACCACTGGAGACCAGTCAAAGGCCCCTGGCTCCTTCTTCAGCCACTTCTGCAGCTCCCGAAGGTTCTGGTCTGTGTAGTCACTGACAACGATCTCCTTGAAGGACTCACAGGCAGAGAGAAGCTGATAAATGGTGGGGCCAGAGCCAATGTCAATCAGGAGGTCTCCTTTCACACCACCTGGTCCAGAGGAGGCAGGGATCAGGTATCATAAGAGGACAGGCTGAGCTGAAGTTCCACCATCTTACTGGGATTGTGCCAAAAAATGCCCCCAGACAACCAGACCACCCACCACTCTCCATTAACATCATTTGGTAGTAAATCTTTCTACTCTCTATCCCTACCTCAAGCTCAGTCCCGAATGGGGGCATTGTTTGCTGGGCTATTTTAATGTTGGGGGACAAGATCTATATCTGGCATACAGATCACTGATCCCCAAAGATGACGACATAAACAAGGTAAAAACTTTTAAGGAATGCTTTGACAGAAACTTATTTTTGTTGTTGTTGTTAACAAATTGAATTTAGGGACTAGAGAGATGTCCCAGCAGTTATGAATACTTACTCCACAGTGACGAGGGCCAGCACCCATTTAACAAGTCAGGCATTTTGCAAATGCCAGTAATCCCATCTCTGAGAGGAGTAGAGAGGAGAGGCTCTCTGGGGCTTACTGACTTCCAGGTTAGCCAAGATGCAACCCCAGGTTTAGGAAGAGACTCTGTCTCAAAGGTCTAGGGAGAGAATGACGGAAGAGGACACCTGATGCCTTCTTCTGGCCCCACGCAAGCACAGGCATGCAACGTGGGCACACAGACTTACACAGACACACATAAATAAAAATAAATGAAAAACACTGAGATTAAGTAATGATCAAAGTACCCAGTTCTTAATATTTGAGGAGGTCTTTACCTCATGGGAAAATATTCCTTTCAATTAAGAAGTAAAACTTTTAATCTATTTATTTGTTGGAGACAGAGTCTGACTCTATAGTCCAGGCTATGCAGAGAAAGCACTATGCAGTCCAGGCCGACCTCAGACTCATGGAGGACCTTCTGCATCAGTCTCTTGCATCCTGCGCCCCAGCTCTCTGCTCTCTTAGACTCTCTAAAGTGTCCCATGAGGTTGGATGGCTCCTTCGAGCCACCTGGTAAGTCACTGTAGAAGCAAGAACAGCACTCAGGCCCTCTGGCTTCATTTCTCAAGACAGTGGAGATAAAAGAACTTTGTAAACTGTAAAACAGCTAAGCCAACATCAATTTTTACTCTCATTAAAGGAATGAGTGATGCCCAGAGACTGTCCAGGAACGATGGCTAGACACAAGTCCAGCCATCCCCTGAGACGCAGTGTGACTCATACATAGACCGACAAACTCACCCAGGCAGAATATCTTAAAAAGATTTTCCAGCAGATGTCTGAGGATCACGTTTTCTGCACAGTGTCTGGACCCAAAGCTGTAATATTTTTCCAAGTAATCCCGGGGATTAAAATGATTTAGATAAGTGTCCTTAGAGGTAAAGCCGGATTCCATCCTGTCTCAGCTCTGAGCCACCAGCCCGCTGCTCTCCTACCCCCTCCTCCAGGAGCCAGGGATCACCTTGGGAAGTTGGCTTTGGAATCTGGAGCTATCAGTCTTCCTTCAGCTCGGCCCACCCCTCAGAGGCCAGTGTTAAAATAGACCTCAGATGTTCTGAGGTCTGCTAAACGCTAACAGTAAAATCGACCTCAGATTTCCCGACTGTTCCAGGGAGGGACGAAATTACTGGAGAGGGGAGCTTAGGAGAAAAGGAGCGGCAGAGGGAGGGTCACACACTGCACAGCACTTTCTACCCAGTGGCAAAGGTCAGCTGCAGAGGCTGCAGACGGGAGAAATGGCCCAGCTCACTGTGGAGATTGCTTAACCCCTGGAAGAAGTCCTAAATTCAGAGGACCGGGTCATCACCAAACAATCCAGTAATTTTTCTTCTTCTTGCAAGTATTCTCCCCGCCCCCCCCCCAAAAAAGAGTCACAAAGAATGGTTTCAGTTTAAACATATGAAAGAAAGAAAAGTGGATGTGGGGTCAGGATGGTCAGGATAAGTGCTCGTGGCTAAGGAATGTTCGCTTAAAAAAAAATCACAGATGAAGTCTGGAAAGATTAATTTTTAAGACACGGACAAGCGTCTTCTTGGATACAGCATGGTAGCTGCACGCATGAGCTCGCTGCTGTAGTTCTGGTCACCTGCACAAGGTCAAGCCCAGAAGGTCAGGCGACTCTCCAGCAGGCAGCACTAATTGGGCTCAGTGGGGTCGTGAACACGGGAGGGGGATGTGTAAGAGGTGGTAAGAAGGAGTTGAGGATGGGTACGATCAAGATGCATTATAAAAAGGAATGGACTTGTCCGTGGATATATAAAAGATATTCTTAAGAATGCTGGACTATAACTCAGTTGGCAAAGTGCTTGCCTGTCCTGCATTAGCCCTGAGGCTTGATCCCCACCCCCCCACCCCCGCCGGCATCACATAAGTCTAGCATGATGTGCACGCCTGCAATTCCAGCACTTCGGAGGCGGAGTCGGGAGTTCAGGTTCACCCTTGGTTGCGTAGCAAGTTCAAGGTCAGCACAATGTATCTGTGGCTCCTTCTGACTCCTAGCACTGCTCAGCTTTCCCCAAGCCTCCGTGCTACTTCCAAGAATTAAAACCCTGACCCTTATTTCAAAGTAAGCCTGAAATCTCAACTTCCTTAAAGAATTCCTTCAGTTTCCATTCCTGGGCTTGCATTGCCAATTAGAATTCACCCTGCCTAGCCGAGGACTTGATTTTTGTCGCAGCTTATATTTGCTCCTGGTTTTGTCTGTCAATTATGTCTCCCAAAACTCGTACAGAAATGACAAACCAAGTGAGCAGTAGACTAAGGACTGTGCCTCCAGTCTTTCTATGTCCTGCTGTACGTCAGGGGCTGCTCCACAGAGGAACTGCTCAAAATAGTGTCTGATTAACCAGCCTGAATAGCTACAGCAAATGCAATGCCTGGTATCCCGTGGGTCATGATTAAGCCAGGGATCTTTGTCACAAGGCCCAGAATCTCCCTCAGAGAATCTCTACTGAGGCTGGGAATGGAGGGTGGCCCACAGGTTACAAGTTAGACTCCCATCTCAAAAGAAAAAAAATTGACTGATAATAGAAAATGGAAACAAATTTCGGGAAATCTAACGGGTCGATGTGAACAAAAACCCCTCAGGCAGCTGAGTTATCGTCCCTTGTTCTATGTCCTTTCGCCTGTCTTTGCGGGGCTAGAGGCCTCTACTCTGCACATCGACTTCTTTTGCTCATCTACTGAACATAGCTTCATTCTGACCTTTCCAAATGGTCAAGGCGATAGAAAGAGCCAAATTCCCTAAGCACATTGTCAGGAAGGAGAATAGGATTCTGGATTTTGTCATTTACTGATTAAAAGAGAAGCGCCTCCTGATTAAACAGGCACACAGGTATTTAAATGATAATAATATTCTACAGCCAGTTTTAGGTGAATACATTACAGAATTTTCCTAACTGAAGGTACAACACCGAAAAGTTTTAGATAATGCTGTAACTCTTCAGTAATTCAAACTGAAAATTATATCCAGTCCTGATGCGATGCCTCACTAGGTCAGCTTGCCTCCAGTACTAAAAATCTGAGATCAACCCCTGGAGCCCATGAGGGAAAGAGATAACCAACTCCTTCAATTTGTCCTCTGTCCACTACACATGTGCTGTGGCATGAGCATTCACACACACACACACACACACACACACACACACACGCACGCACGCGCGCGTGTGCGCACACACACACACACACACACACACGAGGGAGGGAAGGAAGGAGGGAGGGAGGGAGGAAAAAAGGGAAAGGAAAGAAGGAAAGACTAAGTTATAACTACACAAAATTATTCAACAACTATGCTTATAAGTTTCTAAGTTTAGGAAAAATCTAAATACTAAGGTGATTTGTGAAAAATCACAAACTAAGAATTACTCGTACAAAAATTTCAAATTAAATTGCCTAGTCAGGAAAACCACTAAAACTTCCGTGGTGCTTAATATATGACGAGGACTTCTGAAGCATTTTGCACACTTGTCTAAGCCTTCTGTGAGTTAGGGCTGTTATCTCCATGTTCACATATGAGGAGACCGGGGCATTAGAGGTTTGATTCCTTGCCTGGGCCACAGCCCCGTTTTAGAGCAAACCCAGTTTAAAGGCCCGTTCTTGTGACAGCTACACCACAACCAAGGCAGTTCATGCCTGTGACTCACAATAACCTAACAATTAAAACTCCAGTGAGTACTAGCCCTCACACTTGCACATGCAGGAGAGACCGCTGGATTTACTCAATAGATACGAAAGAACTAGGAATGCTCAAATTCAGTATCTGTTCACAGTAACAACTCCTCTCTCACTGGGGATGGAATGAGGCTTCTTGAGTCCACTGAGAAAGACAATGCACCAGCTAAAGGAGCTAAATAAGCATGCATATGAAAGTTTTCTCTTCAATTTGAGGGCAGAGATACCTGGGTTAAGAATCATCAAGGTTTTTAGTTGGTTTATTCATTTGCTTGGTTTTTGATTTTTCGTTTTTTTGAGACAGGGTAACTCTATATAGCCCTGGCTGTCCTGGAACTCACTCTGTAGAACAGGGTGGCCTCGAACCTCAGCGATTCGCCTGCCTCTGGGATTAAAGGCATGTGCTACCACCACCCGGCTGTTTGCTTGTTTTTGAGACGGGGAACTCTATGAAACCCTGGCTGTCCTAGAACTTGCTATGTAGACCAGACTGACCTTGAACTCATAGAGATCCTCTTGCCTTTGCCTCCGCTTGTACTGGGGTAAAAGGCATGAACAACCACACCCTGCAACACTTTTACCAATTCTAACAAAAATTCTACCACAAGTACAGGAAATACAGGAGATATTTCTATATACAAATAAAGGGAGAAATAAATCAATAAGAAAGAAAGGGGGAGAATCCATTGTCAACACGGTGTTCTATATAGGAAATGAAAAGTAACTATATATTTGTCAGGATGAAAACAAGAAGCAAAACTTCTGGGCACAAAATCAACTGACAAAATTAAATTCCTTTTCAGTTAGCAACTGTTATAAAATGAAGTTCAAAATCAGCTTTTCCCATGGTGACATTAAAAACTATGAAGTACCTGCAACAAAATATATACAAGACATTAATGGAGCAAATTATCAAGTTTTATTGAAAGACATTTAAGACCTAGATAAATGGAGAAAAACACCACTCTGTGGAGTAGACAGCTTAACATTGTAAAGATGTCATTTCCCTCCAAATTGATTTATAGACTCAGTAAAATCCCAATTAAAACCCCAGTAGATTTTTTTTTCCTAGAACTTGACAAGCTGGTTTTAAAATTTATATGGCAGTGCCAAGGGCCAAGAGTGGGTACTCTTGGAGAAGAAGAATAAGGTGGGAGGACTCGCTGTACCAGATATAAATACTTATTAGAGAGCTATCACCATTAAGGCCGAGTGGTATTGGCACTGGGCTTGATAAATAGGCCCATCCATGGAGCGGAATGGAAGGGCTGTGGACAGACCCTTCCTGTGTACATTTGATGTATGCATGGGTGGTGGCTCAGATCAGCAGGGAAAGAGACAGACTTGCAATAAATAGCACTGGGTTGCCTGAGTATCTGCAGGGAGGAGAAGGAAATGAGAGCCCCACCTCACACTGTGAGCGGGAATCAATTAAGTCTTATTAACCGACTATACATAAACAGCAAAAGTCTGAGGATTCAGAGGGTGATATACAAGAATGTCTTCATAGCTTTGGGTGTCAGGAAAATTTCTTAAATTAGATGCAAAAAGCCATTAATAGTAAGTGAAAGATTTATAAATTTGAATATGTGACAGCTAAAAATGTCTGTTCCAAACGCATGGTAATGGCAGAAGGACCATTCACAGACAGAAAAGCTAGACACATAAAGCTGACAATGAACTGGGATTTATTTTGCTTACTTATTTTTGTATTTTTGAGACATGGTCTAACTATGTAGAAAAGGCTGGTGTCAAACTCATAGAGATCTGCTTGCCTCTGTCTTCCAGGTGCTGGGATTAAAGCATGCACTACCCGGCCTGGTTTGGATACAGATTTTTATAAGACATGTCTGAAACCCCAAAGAAGATAAAGACAAAAAGAGAAGACTCAAAAAGACATTTTATAACAAAGGAATGGCCCACAAATCTATAGAGTGATACTTAATTTCATCAGTGAAATGTAATTTAACCCATAGTGAGGTATTACCTCACATCCATCAAACTGGTACAAGTGACATGTGACCAGAACCCAGGACCTTGCCAAAACACATTATCCTGCATTTTCAGAGAACAGAATAATAAATGAATCACACACATTAACAATAGACAAGAATGTGTGCATACACCAGATCCAGAGACTGCACTCCCAGGTACGTACCCGGAGAAAAACCAGCACGTATCCACAGTGTTCATTACAGCATTTATGTTACTTGTTATTGTTGCTTTGACTGAATGCCAGTCAAAAGCAGCTTACGGAAGGGGTGTTTGGTTTTGGCTCGCAGTTGGAGAGGACACAGTCCATGGTGGTAGGAGTGCAATGTGGCTGGTCACATTGTGCCCACAGACAGGAAGCAGAGAGAGATGAATGTTGGTGGTCTGCTCAATTTTTCCCTTTGTTTGTTTGTCCCAGGACACCAGCCAACGGGAAGGTGCACCCACACCCAAAGTGAGTCTTCTCAGCTTTAGTTAAACCTCTCAGGAAATGTCCTCAGGAACACATCCAGACTTATGTCTCATGGGTAATTCCAAAT